TCAATGAAGCTTATTACGAAAGGAGGGCTGCGACTTATGAGTAATTTGAGGATAACTTAGAAAGAAAAATATTATACAAGCTTGATGTAAGAAAACTTTGTATTTTATGAGTTTGTTGAGACTTAATATATCTTTACATTTTATACTGTAAGTTTATTAAATCTAAATATTACGATTCAAATATTATGTTTACGTTCAGAAACTTTCGCTGTCAAATTTTAATCAACATGCTATGTAACGAAATGCATTTAAATAAATAACATTTTTGTTTTAATATAGTGTAGTCTGTTTAATTATAATCTTTAATCAGGATATATGTATTTAAAACAATGGCTTTAAATTTGCATATTCGCCAGCCCATAAACATTTGTAATGAGAACGTTGGCTACATTCGAAATGTTTAGATTACGCCAACAAATTCATATTACGTTTCTTTGAAAATGGTGACGTTGCATAACAATAATTGTGTAGTTTTTCTAGACCACTTCCTCGTTGCGGACACGCTTTTGTGTTACGTTTTCTTGAATGGATTTCTTTTTTAAATGTGTATAATATATGGCAACATTTATACAAATTGTCAAGAACATTTGACAACAAAGATATAGTTATCAGAATTAACGGTAAAGCTGAAAAGTAGTAACGCAATAATTTATTTTGCAAACTGTACAGAAATATTCATTCAACATTTCTGCCAAGTAAATAACTGTCATTAGCACTCTAGAGGGACTTGTTACACTTTCTAGCTTTAAAAGGGATGTGTTGACATCTTGACAGCTTTCATGTATCAATTTAAGTGACGGAGAGTTTTATATTATGAAATGAATGCTATTGACAGTATCGAATAACATTATTATTTATTATCTATATCTATACTAAGTGAAAATATTGAAAATATACAGCCATTATTAGAAAATTTAATAGAAAATATTCTTTTGTTTCTGATTTCTCGTAATATTTAAATATTTTTCAGTTTGAATATATGTATTTATATTAATCTCAAAAATATACGAGTAATTTGTTTTTTTTTTTATCATAAATATAATATACAAAAGACGAATTCTCGTGAAAATTGTCAGATAAGAAGTTGCTTTGAATGACTTCTAACATCCGCTTTTGTCAGACTTGAGCCATGAAAAGGACTCGAGTTTCATGAATGGAGTTTATAAATTGTCATTTGTATGAAATGTTTCTGCTTACGAGTATTTTTTATAGCGTACTTTTTACAATTAATTAAATTGTCAAGTATTAATTCTTAAATTAAATGCTAGTAATTATTTAGTTGTTCTAAGCCTTTTAAGAAAAAAAAACGTATTAAGCGCCAAACTCATGAATATTCTTAAATTCCTTGTATTCTTAAATTCCTTGTATTCTAAATTTAAAAGACATTAGAAGTTAGAATTAAAATGTTGGTTCTTTTTAATTACTTAAAGGTATTTGCTAAATAAGTCTTCGTAAAAGTCGTTTAGTATTTGCTTATAAATCAGGTTTTTGGTATCATTAAGGTAAGCTTAAGAGCTAAGACTTTGAGCTCCATCGTTTTCAAGCATTTCTGACGCTTTATCTAGGTCATTTGCAATCTGTGTATATTTTATTTTTAAATAAAACTATGTACTAACAGTCGATCATGTCATTTATAGAGCGAATATCTGTTTCGTCTTCATTTCAAAGGGACAAATTCAATTAATACCAAATTTAAGGCTGTCGCTTTTTTTCTTTTATTAGGATTCGTAAAAAAAAATTGTAATTTATAATTTCAGTGAGTAAGAAGAAGTAATAAATATTTTCGCGATTCTTTTCTGTATGTCTTCTGTTTGTTAACACATATTTTAAATAGACTCTATATAGAAACATATTTTAAAAAGAGCCTTATGTTTTTGTTCTTATTAAATTATTTATTTCGAATGGTAAGTTATTTTTTCCCGTAAGTAAATATGAATAGTTTTCTGTCCTTATAAAATAAGCGGTTATGGCATTGTGACTTTTGTTGGAAAAAACTTCGACAAGATTTATTAGTAAAGTTTGCGAATTTTCAGAAAGTGAAAAAATGTGTTTTTAGAAATATATGCGAATAACTTCATTATAATTATTTTTATTTGATTAAGAAGTTATTTATTATATTATTCTTATGGCATACAATGACTGAGAAAAACTGATTTTATTAATTCATCTACCTTCTTAATGTTTTAAGGAATAAAAGATCCACTAAAGATAAACGAAAGAATTTAAATTCGAGAAAAATTCGATGAAGGTAAAAAATAAATTTTTATTATAAAGTTTGAGTTTCTCAGAAGATATTGTTCAAGAGGTTCGTTCCGCCTTGATTATTATCATGGGGGCCGTCGGAACTCAGAACAAGATTTCCACTGATTATGGCTTATATAACGGTTCTTGGGATTCTCACGTAATCTTATAAATCTATCAACAAAACTTCAATCAACGATTTTCTTTGATGAAAAATCAATTTAAATGTAACTTTCTAAAAGAACTCTCAATTTAAATTAAATTAAAAATATATATGTCAAGTTTTATCTTAAAATATATTCATGAATGAGATACTAAAAATGTAATTACAATTAGTAATGCGTGTTTGAAGAACCGTTAGGGAATTTTAACAGGCGTATCTTCACCACATTAATATTACATACAGTGGGCCAGTAGTACTATGGATGCAGTTCATTGACCCCCCCCACCCATACCCTAAGGCCCTCCGCTACATTTCTCCTTTCCTCAATGTAAACGCTTTAGTAGAACAGCTAGATGTTTCAACTCGTTTTTTTTTAATAATACTTCCAAGAAGGTTTTATATAGGATGTTTGTAATTTATTTTATGATCTGTCAATTTATTACTATGGGAAATGACGTTTCAATTAATGACACTTAAATGTCACTTGTGTGACGGTTTTCTGAATGAAGCTGTAGCATAGAAAGGAGGCTTTCTTTTCTATAGTTTTAATTTAAAAAACTTTCTATACGAATTTTATGTGTCTATTCCTTTTTTTTTATTGAGTCATTAGCTTAATTTAAGAATGTTGTAAAGTGCAGAATATCTTATAATATTTTTTATATTTTCCAAAATTTTCAATCAAGCATATCTAAATGTAGTATGGACTACTTTTAAATTACTATTTCAAACATTCGGCTAGTACCAATCCATTAGTAATTAACCTTGAGTCACTTTATAATCTAATTCCGCACGAGAGCACTAATTAACTAAACGACTGCTATTAACAATTTACTCCAAGTCTAACATTTTCTTAATTGTTACACTGAAAGTAGCAAGAAAAAGAGCAAATTGTTAACATTTCTTACACGTGTGACGTATGTTAGTACCATGAGTATCGAATTACTTTCACAAATGACCTATCACGAGTACCTCGCTGGCCGTGTCAAATTGCTCCGTTATCTGGCCATGGACAAACCGATGGACGTCTCACAAAGACGCAATCTCTATGAACAACATAAAGGTGGTACTTCACTTGGCGTTGATATTCGCGTAGCGATTTGTCCAAATATTTGTACGTAGTCCAAATAGCGCAAACATGACATCCACACTTGGCATGCCAACAATACGTCTTTACGCGTTTTCGCTTATTTGTGTGTGTCTTATTTGTGCAAATATGTCAAATGAAGACGAATAAATCCACCACACATGGTCTTATTTGGCCGAACACAAATAAAAGCCAAGTGTAGTGCCACCTTAACATCTACTAGAAAACCTGATTCCACTTCATTGCTTTCTTCCCGTCACTTAATTGGTATGAAATAGGATGCTACACTTAATTTCATTTCCATTCATACCTCAGATTAAACTTCACCGAAGTAGAATTCATAAATTGGAAGTGTAGGCAATGTAGGCAAGTGTTAAAAATTTCCATTAAGAAATAGGTCTCATGATGTACGAAAATAATTTACGACCGAAATTTTATTAACGATCTTACAATTAAAGTCGATGATAGATAGATTGAAAACGATTTAAAAACAATGCGTATAAAAGCTTTATCTATTAAGTGAAATGCTTTTTCTATTGGATAATCTTAAAAAAAGAATTAAAATTAAAATTGTTATAGAACATAATATAATTATTAAATAGCACGCGAAACCTCATAACCTGATATATAACACGCAGATATTAATGTATATGGTAGTTTTTGGATGTATACAATTTCGTCACACATGTTCCATGATGTCTCTCCAGCATCCGGCCATTTCGAGATACACGACACCTTTGTGAGCTCTGACGATAAAGACACGCAAACCTCAATCATCGGGCAAAGGCCCTTGGTAACAAAATGTAATATATTACACATACATATATATACTTTTTGATTTTGTTCAATATTATCGTGTCCACAAAATATCAAAAGACTTAATTAGTTCCAAGTAGATATCTTCTCCTATGTTTTAGACCAAAAATATCTACTTAAGATGTTTAAAAGTTTAATATCATCTAAATAATAGAATAGAATGTAACAGTCAATTATGAAGAGATTAGTTTGGAATGTTTTAGTGGATATTTTAATATTCAATCTATTTCGATATAAGTACAAAGGGTTCATTAAAACGGTATTGTATTGTGAATTAGAAGTAGATTAGTAAATCGGTGAGGATGTTAGAGAACACGATCTTTAACAGTGAGGTAATATTAGATGGATAAACTCTTGAGCGACGCGGTTACAAGTGCTATAGAAATTGTATCAATGACTGCGGTTTCCTTTGAAACCTGCCGTGTTGCATTAGTTAGTAGTTACCATTGAAACTGGTTTCTGATGCGTGTCTGTTTCCGAAGTAACTTCATTCATATAAAGAGTTTATAAAAGCTATATAGTATACATGTAATGAGATCTAAGATTTTAGCGAGTACTCATTTAAATGAGACTAATATTTTCGTGAACTGTGATCATGGTTGCTGTAATGTAGCCGAAACGTCGGGAGTATAGTTCATAATAAAAAATAAAAACGCGAAGTAAAAATCCGAAAATATTAGTTTCATTTAAGTATACATGTATTTCTTCTGTGCTAGAAGATGTTTCAAATGTAATAATATTTGCAGACAACGCAGCCGTTCCTATGATTCTGATGAACAAGAGCGTGGGGCTTGCGAGTGGTGCGAATATGCCCTCATCATCACTCTTGCTACGGTGCTGCTCATCGGTGTATCTGGGCTAACTATTTTCTGGACCTTCTTTTACCGAGAGGGTTATGGCTGGGCTGACGACATCCCTGAGAAGCAGTTCAACCTGCACCCAACGCTTATGGTGGCTGGATTTGTCACCTTTAGCGGTTTTTGTAAGTGATTCCAATATATTAGTAAAGAATGCAATAGTTTAGTCAAAATATTTCGTGTTCAAGTCCAAATAATAAACAATATGTTAAGGATGAGATAGTAATTCAAAGTCAATTAAAACAGATACAAAGAAATGTCTGTTTTTTGGGTACATTATGACCCAACCCAAAAACTGATACGTAACAAATTAGATTGTAATTATAACCCTTCCTTTTTATTCCAGCGGTGCTGCTCTACCGTATTTGCCGCTGCTTCAGACGTATTTACGTCAAACTGCTGCACGCTATCTTCCATGCGTTGGCGTTCCCTTGCATCGTGATCGGTTTTCTGGCAGTATTGGACTTCCATAACAAGAAGGGGATTAATAATTTCTATTCCCTCCATAGCTGGATAGGATTGGTCGCTATGGGACTCTTCGGAATTCAGGTATAGAAAAAAATATAATATACAAATCAATCTCTTGATAAAATATGTTATAATACTGTTAAAATAGTTATACTCTAACTAAATTACCTTCTTCTTTGTACGAATGTTCAAATATGTAAAAGAAGCTTCATTTTAAATTACAGCGCGTTCAGAACGAAGACGTTTTTATAAAACAATTTTTCTAACTTCTGCTAGTGAATTTTAAAAGTTTAGAAGTAGCTTCGAGACGGAGTTTCCTAACAAAGTTTTTGTTTCCAGTATGCGGTCGGTTTCTTCAGTTTCCTCCTGCTATTGATTTGTAACAAAGGAACCGCGAACTTCCGTGCTTCTTTGGTGCCAATTCACGCCGCGTTCGGAATCCTGACCTTTGTTCTTGGAGTATGCGCTTGTCTTACTGGACTTACTGAAAAGGCTCTCTTCACTCTGGGGTGCGTAACTATTTTATCTATAGAATCTTTAAAACTAGATAATACTTATATTACTTGTATAGCAAAACCCTCATTTATATTATTAAAGAACAAAATTAGACAAATATCTAGTTACTAGTCTAGTACTTTATACGACACTCATACAACATTTTACTCTAGCAATGCTACCATTGGAGAAGTCAGGTACATAAGTGTTAAATTAAATCGACTTTGTATCATTTAAATTGTTTATTGACAGCTTTTCATATAAAACATCAGTGCATGTAAAGTTACATTGTATCTCTGTTTGTACGTCCACTTGCTGTCAATAGTATTCTGCCAGAAAATATCTCTATAGAATAACGGACCAAATATTGAATTTAAAAGTTTCCTTTTTTAAATTATTTAACTTTTTTTTTTTGGCAGATTAAAATTGGCAGTATGATATATGTGTGTGTTGTCTGTGCATGTGTTAGTTGTTTGTATGGGTATTCACAGCGCGGAACGGTACAGCGGTCTGCCGGACGAGGGAGTCATCCTGAATGCTATCGGAGTCACCATCATAGCCATAGTTGCTGTCGTCATGTATATCGTGTCTAGGAACAAGTTCAAAACGGAACCGCGGAATATGAGAGCCTCTGTGGATTTGTAGATTAATAATTCTAAATCTGACAGATGTCAGTTTGACACTTCATGGGCTATTCCCGCAAAAAAAATTTTGACGTAAACACTAGATACCACAGATTACCAATCAACTCGTAAAAAAAGATATGTTGACTGATAGGATAGTTTAATTAATGATGATGAATTAAACTTCAGTCACAACTAACTCCCCGATATGTAATAGTTTATGACTAATATAGAATAGTTTGATGTATTAAAGTACCTACGTATGTACAAATGGAGGCTTTTATATCAGTACGTAAGAGTATACTCTGATCTGTATCAGATCAATATATAAAATAAAAATTTTGATGATTTATTTAGAATATGTAATACAAATTTAATGATTCAGTGTAGTTTAGGTAACATTAAATTTAGAACGTTTCATAATCGTTATTTTTAAAAAATAAAATTATTATAAATTTTTTAATTATGTTGTAATAAAATATTCATAATGCAATTCGGCTTTTGATTTTCAAATTTATTTGCTTTGCATGGAAGCATAATAAAATCTATTATTAACTACAGAGCTAATAAGCTTCTATTTTTGATGTAAACTTTATATGCTTGTAAATGTTATGCTTTAATGTGTATATATAAGAAATCTATCTTAACCATATCATAGTTTCCATTGAAACCGCTGTATTAAGTTATACTTATGCTTGATATAAATATAAGTATTTTCTATTTACTAACCTGGGGCATGCGGTGTGCAGGAGCGAGACGTACGCCTCGATGTCAACCGAGGGTATTGTGATTAACGCCATCGGGATGTCAGTGGTGGCCGTGGCTATCGTGGTGCTATACACAGTACGTGGCACAGGAGGATACAGACTTCGCAAAGTGGCTCAAAACCCGAGTTAAATCATCCTTTAATAATACATCGAAAACGTAGTTTTTATTGCCCGATGCAAATTTACATTTGTTTTTTTTTATCATGTTTAATTTTTATATATGGCAATACTAAATACAAATAATCTGTATAAAAACTACGTTCTTGACTGCAATATACAACACCAATTATTGTAAATTCTTCTATATGCTTAAAAGTTTTAAATCATGATTACCTAAGCATAAAGTTGAATGATTTATGATTCTCGAAATATGAACGCTGAGATTCTTTGGTATGACATAACCTTTTTACAATTCAACCAATCAACGAAATATATCCTATCAGGGAGAGTTGTGAAGCTCATTTTACTAAAATATAGTTAACATTAATCGCTAACATTAATATATTAGATTCGTAGCTCAATTTGTTGATTTTTAGGTTGAACTGATTTTATCTCTGTGACGTGTCGATGATTCCTGCGGTTGTGTATTGTTCTATATTTGAATTATATATTGTTTGAGATTAAACGATCCGTCTTCAAAATTATAATATCACGTCGACTGATATTGGATATACCTTTTAAATATTGTTTCATTTTACATATCGTTAATTTTTTAAAAGAACAAAAAAATCTATTTAAATCATCCAACGAAAACTCCTTTCTAATGTCTGGCTGTAAACTATATACATTTTGTGTGAAAAAAAAAATGTTGACGTTGCACAGAGTAATGTAATAGGAAGTTTTCGTTAGAAGAACAATTTTAAATTCGCAATACGAACACTCAATAACAAATATTATTCAGTGGCCATATATGTTAGGTACTGAGATAGCATCGTTTCTGTAGGTTAAAGTTAAGATATTATAGTTTTAATTTGTATATAATTAACGTAATGTGCGAGTGTTCGATAGATGTAGAATGTGATTGATTTGTAGCGATTTATATATAATATGAAATATTTCATAAGAATACAGCAATAGTAATAAATAAACGACGGTTTTCTTGTTTCTCCATTAAAAATATAAATCATAAATTCAATAGCATTTTAAAATACATTTTGATATAATAGTTTTTATCGTGTTTAGATGTCGATGTGTCTGTGTAAGCGAAGTGTTCATTCAAGTTGCCAAATTCTTTGTAACGCGACGGTTACTCGTTATAAACTTGTATAACATAATACATATTTAGCATGTTAATCAGTAATTCTTTAGGATAACGCTCAATGTCTTTATACGAGGGGTACCTTCTATGAATAATCATTGCGTAGTATACAATAAGTATTCATTTTGTTCTATGGTAGACGTTATTTATATTCCAGTTTTGTATAAAGTTACATTCCAATGAGTAATGTATGCATTTTGTATAATTTCGATTTTTAAATGTATTTTACAATCCGCGCGAAGACTGTAATCGTTAGTGTTTTATCGTTTTTAATAAACGTCGCTATGATATTTAATATGCCAGGAGCTGTTTACAATTTTTAAATATAATCTTTTTTGGATCCCTTTAAAAACAGTGGGGCCAAGTTTTTATATAACAAATCCCCGTTTTATCAACCATGGTACAGATTTATATTCATTATATAACCAACAATCAAATAGTACCTGTTTTTACTAGTTTAAGTATTAAAAACTAAATTACGCGCTGCCCAGTAACATGGCGTATAATCAGTTTATCAGATTTTAACAGTATTTTTAACACGTCTTTGTAAATGTATACCTATTTTAAATATATCATTTGGTTATAGTTGTTTTGATTACAGTTATGTATTGGTTTAGAATTTTATCACTGTTTTACAATTTTAAATATTTATACGCATTCATAATGGTACATTAAATACATGTAATAAAATAATGTCTTTTATTTATTTACCCCGTAAAAAACATAATCAGCCAATGTGATACACATTAACATATAAAATGGGTGAGAGAAAGAGAGAGAGAGACAGAGAGAAAGAAAGAAACAAAGAGAGACAGAGAGATTCTTCAATCTAATAAGCAGACGGCAGAACCAATTACACAGGAAACTTTGTGCATACGATGCAGTCCTCATAATGTTTTTCCTCACCTATGAAGATGTTTCTTCACTATCATGTGTGGATTACTGACTAACCGATGATTGTGATAGGCTTTAAAAAATATCAATAAAATTGTATAGACAAAAAACTTATTAAATTTAAAATTAGGCTATTTCGATTTTTGAGTTTTAAATGTGATATTGTGAGCTCATTTATGTTAAAACCTATATGCATATGTGAATTGGTAAAAAGACAAAGTAAATTTTGTTTTCTAGTATTTTGAATAAGTTTTTGTTTCTCCAGAGCTTTTCAACTAATTACCAAATAAAGAGAACATTACATAGGAATATTTATCAGAATCTACTTAAACACAGTTCACTACAGCACTCACAGCTATATATATATATAATTTGTTAATAAACTCAAAAATTGAATGATTAGAATTTATTCATTTGGGCTCAGAAAAGTATTTAAAGTAAAATAGCAACTAAAGTTTAAACATTAGACCAACAAAAAGAACCAGTTTCCTCCTAATCGTCTAATTGAAGTTACCTTTTATTGTTTGGTTGCGCTTTGAAGTTAATTTCAGACCTTTACATTTTTAGGTTTTCACACAAAATACAAATATTTTCTAAATATACACCACGATGGATGTGAATAATTTGTAAGGTATTAGGCCTCGGCCTCGAATTTTGCGGGCAGCGGAGCGGCAGCGGGAGCGGCAGGATCTTACGCGTATAATCAAATGGACCGACCCTCGAATACAGCGGTGCCCGCTGCCCGCTAGTTTAGAGAACAGTATGCGTTTCCGTGCCGCCGTCGCTGCCGCTCCGCTGCCCGCAAAATTCGAGGCCGAGGCCTGAGTACTGCTTATGGTGAAATTGTCTGTAAGGTGGCGCTAGTATCCAGTCGAAAATTTTACATTTTACTGTTGATAGATGGCACTTTAAACAATTTTACCGAATCTTAAATGGAATGTGAATTTATTTCTCTATGAACAGCCAAACTGAGTGATGTTTGGGTTGTATATGTTTTGTTAAAGAAACATATAAATAATATAAAAAGAAACATAGGTTTCAGTTTTTAGAAAAAAAAAAGAGGTACTAAATTAAAAAATATATGCATAAACAATATCTTGAGTATATTAAAATTAAATATTATTCTAAAACTATAATTTATAAAGTCTTACCTACATTTAAATGGCGTGCTCCAGTTTTATTTTATATATTATACATATAATTAGGAAAAGCATAACCTATCACGGTGAATTTGCATTTTTATATAAGCTTAGATGCATTGCAGTACAGAGAGGTTGATAATAAATTACGTTTTCATACAAATCGCTTGACGTGATCTAAAGAATTCTTAAAAGACAAAAACTACATGTTGACAGCAATCATTTATTTGTATCGTAACATTTTGAATTTAATTATAAAGATATATTCTTTATACATTGAATAATTTTGACATTTTTCTTATATCTAATGGGATTCCGAAAAAACAATGTTAGATACAGCTACCTCACAAAATATTTCACAATTTCCTATTTAATAGTAAATAAAACACACGATTTATAATAAGATTTTAAAATCACAAACGCTCATTTAGTATACATATAAGAGTAAGCTTCAAGTAGATATGATAGATGGTTCAATTTAAATATTTCAAAGAAATTCATACATTTTTTTTAACATTGAACTACTCTTAAAAAAATTTGGCAAATATTGAGCGTGAGATATCTAGAGCATTATTGCATACAATATAATATAGCTTTGATTTTTGTATTTGAAAGACAAACAGTAGTTTGGTAACATTAAGCATATGTTCAATTATAATATATAAGTAATGAAAATAATTTAACAATATCTAGTCAATTACACAGATGGACCATTTATATAATTCAAAACTTAATAAATAAGCATTTGTCATGAAAATATTAAAAGAACCTCATATTTTTATATACTTGAATAAATTTATTATAATCTGAACTCTATTCTGGTTAAAAAAAATACTATGTGTCTATAACCCTGCTATATTGGTCGGTAACTAGATTTAAGGAATCTGATTATAATTTATATAAAAAATTTAATTTCTTTGAGATTGTCCATTAATGACTATGATTCGAACATTTTATTCTTAAAATATAATCTTTATATATACTGATTGAATGAATTTCAACTAACAGTTAATAATTCAAATTATTTTCTTTAGTATAATAGATGTTTCATAGATGGCGCTACTATTAAAAATGATTCAATTAATTTTATGCCATAAATAGTACATCTAATTTTGAAAATTTCTGACAATTTATATATTTAAGTAACATTCAAACAATTATATTCTAAAACTACATATATTACTAGGCCATACGAAATGCAACAAAACTTTTAATTGACAGCAACACTGTAGTGCCATTTAAGTAATCTTTGGTGCAACATGCAATAAGTACAGATACATTAAAACTAGAACTTTTAACTATACACGAGTATTTTTGAAATTTTAAATACTCTATGGCATCACTAACCCTACAAAATATTTGTTAAACAAACGAATATAATGAAATGTTTAAAATAGCTTTGGAATTATAGTAAAAAATGCCAAAAATACCTAATTACAAGAAGTTAAATACAGCTATGTATTGGAATATAATACTGTTTTGCATATACATTATGCAATTATAACTAATGCTAACAAAATAAAGATGAGTTTCATTTAATGTCATGGGAATGTATGAAAGCGACAAAGTACCAAATATGAAAAAATGATTCTGCACAAAACACGGAGATAATTTATAAATTTTAAACTATAAAAAAATTATAATTAGATTGTTATTAATCTAGTTTAATATTTAAGAAAATTTGAGACATGCAAGCTTGAGTATAAGTTAAAAATATTTAATTATTGGCAATAATCTTACAGTCAAATGGAGTAAACCAGAAAAATTGTCACAGGGAAGCTTTCTACGTGATATTCTAAAATAACACAGAATAACAATGGAATATCTATTTTTAAATATATTTTTCACACACTGCTATATATTATTCAACACACAGACAGAATAAAATAATACTATTAACAATTCACAATCAATAAATAAATGCTTTTAGTGTGCAACAATACAATATATCTTAGTAAATAGCATTATTTTTTCATGAACTAGAATATATAAGACACTAATAAATTAGGCGATAACAGCCCACAGCCGATTACTAAATTACCCACAGATGCCTTCAGATAGGATCCACCAAAATATTAATTATTCTAACATTAAAATAATTCTCTGTATCATCTTAATTACACACATCACTACACACAAATAGTTGTATTTAGAAATATAACAGTTTAAACATTTAAATATATTTGAATTGGAATATAATCTACACACCGGCATAACTACAAAGTTTGTAAAGACATAAGCTACCATTTCATTTCATTACTTTACATCAATGACTTAAAAATTGTGTAAGATATTTTAAAATGTCAATCGTTTAACTACATAATAATTAATGACCAGAAAAAGAGAGTATAGAAACATGCAATATTGTGACATTATGGCTCAGTGGCATCACCGGTCGTAACCTAATAGGTCACAGGTTCGATTTTGAATCATATAATTTCTATATTAATATCTAGGCTTTAAAGTACTGTGGGAATTCGTTAGATATGGCTCTTACTAGTGTCTGGTCATCACGACTTATATCACCTTCTTCACAGAATATTCTAGCAAAGCATCTAAGGAGATCATCTCTTCGGTGTAAATGGGCACCGTAGTCTGTATTGCGGATTATACCTTGGAGTATCTTCAAGTATTGTTGACGACGCTGGAATATTGTTACAAATTTCTTAGTTTTCTCATATATTTAATATAATAAATTTTTATACTATCATATTTTTATGTCTATATCTGCTGTACAACTTTTTCAGCACTTTTTTATCATTAGTAACTTCAGTTAACTTCAGTTTATATAAATATGTTAGATAACGAGGTATTTTATAATCTAATACATTTCTGGTAGATGCGTTACATTCAGCTTAAATGCGTGTTAATGTAATATATTGTATTTATATGTACTCTTAACAGAATTTTATTGAGCAATATTTTTTTCAAATATATCATTTTAAAATTCTGGATGTAAAGATACATAGATTTAAGAAATAGCGCATCTATAAGTGTACATGAATAAGATATATTATGTTCTTATTATTACCATTTCAGGAAAACAGCTTAAGATTGAGGTCAATGACCATTCAGTAGACCTTTGTCCATCAATAAACTGATTGCAGCTAATGATGATGATGAATTTATGATTATTCAATATTTATTTGTCTATCTTTATATTAATATAAACTTACCGAATCCCCGGGCGATAGATCAGCTAGTTGCCTTACGACTATATCGATGGCAACTTTAACGTCGTTGGTGTAGAAATGTTCAGCGGTCTTCTTGCGACTGAATAAATCTATAACCAGCTTTAACACGGAGTGGGCCGGGGCTGGTTCGTGATCGAATATGTGGACCGGATCTTCTGCGAGATCATTTTTACATTAGATTCTACTTAGTGCTAGTGAATAAACCAAAATGGCCGCCTGAAGAAAATTATACAAAACAAAAACATCTTTTTAGGTAAAATTACGATTTGTTTTTAAAATTTTGATTAGAGAAATGTATTTAAAACTACATGAGCTCTTCATGGACTAAGCAACTAAACAGTAAGCAGTTTTTTGCGTACATGGTCCCATAATAGTTAGTATGATGGTAATTTTTTTTTTGTCGATTTTTAATCGTATATCAATGAAGAAACTCACCCTCTCGATTAAGCAACAGTAGAACTTTTTCACAAAATGTTTTAGCGTTATCCATCACCTCTAAGGCGTTTAGCAGAAGATTTTCGAAAGGACTCTCGAATTGAAGATTGTACGCGAGGAGTAATGTTAAGAATAAATCGGGTATTTGTTCATCAACGTCTGTCTCCGGAGGATTTTCGATAAGTTCTAGGAGAAATTGCGCAAAGTCAACTCCTAATTGTTCTGAAATTTAAAAAATGTTTAACAGATAATATTATACGGTATAAAAAAATATGAAGAATAACTTTTATTCACTATACGTCTCCTTAGATTGTTTGATTCCCAAATAAAATCAATGAATCTTGTTGAGATTGAGATAACCAAATATGTGATAATAGAGGAACAAACAAAAGAAGAGTGAACTTTTTTAAGAAAATTTTGAATTAAACGAAGAAATTGCTTGTTAGTTGATATTATTATTTTAAAACAGAGATTTAGGAATCCAACAATCTGTCAAGACAAGCAGGGTTACCCTACCACTAATATAATATACTCAGGGTTGTCAACAAACATTTCACTTACCGAAGTGCGTGATGGGAAGTTTATCCCCCATGGATAAGACCATGGACAGTAGTAGCGCTGAGTGCGACAAACGGCTGACGGCGCGAGGGTTGTCGCGCATGTCACGAGCTATTTCTGCTGGTAAAGCTGATAAGGCCAGGGTTGCCAACGCCGTGCGTTCTAAACCGCACATTACACCAAATGCCTTTAATGTAAAAGATGAATCTTATTAACTTCAGATTAGTATATACTACTAGCTACTATTCAATCAGATTCATGTAAAAAAAAATGTAATACTGCAACATAAAGTTATTTTTTTTTAACCTTTTTATGTTGTTGAGCAAAAAATAGCTATACAATTACAGGAATAGCTTACTGTCCGCAAACACGAGATAAAATGCGTAATTTCTTCGGCATTAGAGTAACTTAGACTAATATTCTTTCAAAACAAAATCAATTAATTTGTTCTAACATTACATGTATTAATCGAAATAAATTTCTACCAACCAATGTACCAACGCTATATAGACTTTGTTTCAGCCATACATCTTTTGTAATTCGCTTACATACACTATCATAACGAATAGTAGTATAATAATATATATATTTTAAATAAATATTAACATTTACTTGCAACAACAGTTGTCTAAGCGGCCAACGTGTTTCCATTTGGTAGTACTGCACAAGGGTTGTCACATACGCATAACGATGACTACTCAGCACATGCTGGGATATATTGACATCAGCATTCGACTGCAACAAAGAATATAAATTATAAAATGAAAAAGTAATATATATATTTAGGATTCTAACAAAATAATTAATAAATATAATTGTGTTATAAAGCCAGTACTTTTAAATAACATATATCAAACCTTCACTAGAACAAACTAATTATTATCTTATACCAAAACAAAGAAAAGACGCGTCGACAAAATACTTTCCCGCGTGAAAAGTGAACAAACAAAACGTCATCGCTTTAATATCACTTCGGATGCGTTCGGGAATTTAAAGGTATGGTTCAAATTAAATATGTGTTCCCTAAATATAGTTAAATATATGCACAATTTTATACCATGACTGAGATAAGTTCCAATAACTGTGTCTGTATATCATGGGCATCATCGTGTAAAGCCCAGCCTCGCTGCTGTGCATCATTTGCTGCCTTCGATAGAGCATTCAGTGCTGTCATCATTCGCAACGCATCTGGTGCAGCATCAATAGCATTCTTTGGACATGTTATGTTGCTGTTTGCTTCTCGTAGTAGCGCATCTATTATGGACCTTGCAGCACCACCAGGGAGAAATTCCTGGGTTAAAAATAAGTTATAAATGTTACTTTATATGTTTATATAATTCACTCGAAATATTTTTCTATGTAATACATAAAAAAATTAAAAGACTTGAGATTTATATAATAGTTAGGAGTTACATATACTGTAATTAATGGGTAAACAAGTAATTTAGGGTTAAACTGTAATATATATTGTATATCCAAAAGGTATTTCTTGTGTCACTGTAATTTTTGGTACAAATGTATGTATTGTATAGACATTTATAACATCCTTTACTTTAAAAAAAATATAAGCTATAAGAAATGGTGTAATAATAAAAGTGGTGTCAGAATAAAATGGAAAATCCTAATTATAAAAAGAAACTGATTTTAAAAGTTATAAAATCTTGTTTAATCTAGTTAAATTTGAATACACAGTAGTGTAAGTTTACAAAGGCAGCCTTGTAACCTTTATGATTGTGTTTTGTATACAAAATGTCTTGTAAATGCATCATTACTTCATTCTTGCAATTCAAAACAGGCAAGCATCGGTTTAATTCATAACAAACTTAATATCCAATGATTGTTATTTTATTTTCTTTATAATTTTTTTAGCTTATTAAATCTAAACTTACTAAATATATTTTTAAATATTTTTAGTATTATAATGAAACCATACCCTTAAGGAGATCAGAACAGTTTCCACTGCAACTTTGGACATTTCATGACTTAATTGAGTTTCTTTTCTCACAGCTTGAACAATCTCATAAATAGCATTTGGTTTAATACTTTCACTGCTATCCTGACTGTCATCTTGGTTTTCTGTGTCCGATGACAACTGGTTAGAGGCAGATTTGGAATAGCCCTTCTTGTCTTCATCATTATCTGATAACAGATTTTATTGTGAAGTATTTTCAAAGATAGATAGAGATTTATTAAAGATATTTCATTTTATTTTACCTTTATATGCATTGCTGTTCAGTGATTTAGATGGGGATGAGCATGATTTTTCTTCAGAAATATGCTGTTGTGATACAACGGGACGCAGATCAAATGATGGTGAGACCCCATTTGGAGGTGTGTTGTCATCTAGCCGTGGAGGAGGTTTTGGAGCAGCTTGCTTTTTACTCGGCTTCACAAGAGCTTGCAGTTGCTTCTTCTTTTCATACAGCTTCGTCAATGTCTCTTGCTTCTGAGGCGTCATTGCATTGGTTTCATTTAAACTCTTTATGCAGTCATTCAAGAATGAAAGAAAATAATCTGGCTCGACCTGAAATTAATCAGTCTTATTAACACATTAAATTGGTGAGCTAATGATCAATTAGAACATATATTTTACCTTGACTGAAGCAACGTAGTTTGAAGGCACAAAGCCCACTTGACCTTTTCTATTAACAACATGCCACCAATTCCTTTGCTTAGTGTTACTTTGTTGAAGATAAAAAAAATCGCCTTCCGTAAAACTCAGAGTCTTTGCTAAGGTTGCCTCGAAATCATATAATGCTGTAAGCATTTCTAAATCATCTGAAAAAAATATACTTTACAGTGCCCCATTATCGCCCAAAAGTGTTATGTAGCATATCTTACCAGTTAAGAGCTGTCCTTCAGTCATGATGAAATGGTTTTCTCCAATAATCGTCACAATTTCAAAAATTCAGAACGATTACATTAGAATTTTTTGCATTCTCGGAAAGGTTTAATAAAATTACCTGAAATATTGTCCCAAAGATAGTTATATTGACAAAAACAAAATTAATTAGTAGATTCAAAGATTTAAACTACACTAAAAACAAAATGAGTTCAAATTAATCTTACAATTTTCAAGATGAAATTATATTTAGTTGAATATTTTTTGCGACAGTTCACTATTCAGTTACGGAGACCGAAACTAAGACTTGACATTTGACAGCTTATACCTCGTTGATCGTTCATGCCCGGAATATAACCATTTAAGTTGGAGTTTCTGAAAATGAATTGTATAAATATACATAAATTTAAATCTCTTTGAATTTACGATTACTAATATTTATCAATATTTCAAAATATTATATTAAACCAGTAGAACACGTTGGATGCAGTATTATAGGAGTGTTATGATATATGCTGCAGGTATTATAGGTATATTACATTTCTATGAGAAACAAAAAAGAACTTAATGATTATTTTCTCCAGTTATTATAAGTCACAGTTATTTTGTGACTGAAGAGGGAGATGAGAAATCTCTATACCGACAATTAGATCATAAAAAAGAATAATTCGACTAGTTTATCCTCTCTGTAAAATGGACTAATAAATACGATAGAAGCTAAAATTCATTCCAAATATGGTTCAACTAAATGATAGCATGTTTATTTGACCAAACTGTAAACGTGTTAAAATGACAATTAAAGCATTGGTTCAGAAAATAAACAGTTTTTGTTTTAAATAGTGAAATAAGACGGAGTTGGCACCCATGTTGGCTAAGACCGTCTACTGGCAAAATTCTCTAGTTAGCGGTAGCTAGCGTAGTGATAGATGTCAATGCCTGTGTAAATGAATATGTGTGCGAATGCCAGTTCATATAACAACTTCATATTAATTGCACCCTAACTCGCAGAAATACCATTTTATTTCACTCATTTGGCTAGATTCTACATTCGTCGGCGAAGACCGTCATTCAGGGATTGTAAACAATTAATCATAACTAATAAGTAGAATTGTCTAATAACGGTACAGAATTGTCTAATAACGGTTCATTGTTAATTTTCGGTTATATTGAAATCACGTTTTCACCAATCTCAATTTCAAAGGTAACAATATGGTTCTGCACAGATATTTCTGGCGGTGTGTTGCGACTATTGAATTCATCTGCATTATCCGGCTTCAACTTTATATTAAAAAAAAATCAAGTAAAATTGTCACTAAAAATTTTAGATTTCGCCCAGTGTCTTGTTGCTCTTCTGTTAAAATATGTTCCTTATTTCTCTGCTGCAGAAATATTTCATTCCATTGTATTAGTTTCAACATATCAAATTTGTCTTTATTTACTTCATCACGGTTTACTGGGTAAATACCAGATTTTCTGAAACCATTTCGCACCACTTGGGCATCCATTCCAGACCAAAATCTGCCCAATTAATCGTGAGAATTCTGATTTGGAATATGGATTTTAAAAAGGTTTTAAAAAAATGTTGATAATATCTGTATGTGACAAAGACCGGCATATGACATTCATTACCCTCCATGGCCTAGATGGACTTAGCCACAGCCTATTTTGAGGTTAGCTTTTAATTTGATCAACTATAACTTCATAAAAGACATATATTTTACTAATGTAATTTACTATCACATAGATATATCATAGAAGAATAAAATTACTTGCATAGATCCTCCAAATGACTGATATTTCAACACAAATACCTTTTTTTTACCAACGTGGTGCACTCCCGATGCAAGTGCTTTAGGGTACTGAAATAACAACTGCGTTTTTTCCGTTCATACTACGTATAACGATATCTTTGTAAGTTAATATGAACTTAAATTGATTTATTGTGCCCCTAATTTTTTACCATTTTTGTAGCTCTTCTGAATGAGTAGTTATTAGTGTTAGACAATCTTACCCTCCAGACGATCTTACCCGAACTGACCCTACATATGACTATCGAGAATCATTGTTAGTAAAATAAAAACTAAAAATTAGTTTAATTTTGAGCACCCTGATTTTAATAAGAAACTTATTACTAGATAAATTTAAAGAGAATGTACAATGTAATATTATGTTCTCACAAATTTGTACTCAACTGGTAATCTAATTCATAGATGGCGTTAGAAATGTCGCTAATTTGATTGTGGTGGGTAAAGGTATGTACAAATATCAAACATAATTTAAAAAGTTTTTACATATATTTTTCGCAAAACTATTTAAAAATTAAATATATTGTAATGAGAGTTACATTTTATTTATATCTACATAAGAGAGTATGACAAATGGTATCAATGTTAATGATTTAAAAAAATATTTCTTTCGGTTAGGTATAATACTGTGTCAAAGGCTATCTGAATGTGCATAAGGTTATAATAATAAAACAATACATTCTATATATAAACAAAACAGATATGGGAATCACCTCCGGTACTTACCCTCGTCTTTATGACATTACGATATTCTTTTTCCTCAACCTGATATATAAAAGTAAATATCATTTAAATATCAAGCTTATTACGCTTCTGTATTCTGTATTTGTATCAATATTGTTAAGACACGATGTTTCTGTTAGTTAAACTTTTGTGTTTTGCTGTTATAGCAATCGCTATGAACAGTATCAGTGCTAGTGATACATATGAGAGTGATGTTCAATATTATTCTTCACAGCTTGACAGCGCTAGTGAAGATCTAAATGATTATGTGCCTAGAACCGTAAGGCAAGTTAAAATTCCTCTGCAAAGGGACAGTTCCGGAGTTAATATTCGTCAATATAATGTTACACGGCACACTCGAGACGTTTCTTTTCCTGGAATTAAAAAACCAACCCACCACGATGTCATTATTCCAAATTGGAATCCTAACGCCAGAATTAAACCATGGCAGGTTATTGGAGTTAAAAATCGTAAAACACGAAGTGCAATAATGCCATGAACTAATTTTACGTGGAAGTGAGGAAATTTAGTTTTAAACTAATTGTATTATTGAAATGCTGTATGATGTGATATATTTTGTAATAAAACAAATTTTACCTAATTTTGTATGTTATTACGCTTATCATTTGATAATTCCCTACTTTGGTTGATATTAAGGATTTTTAAGGATATTTATTTCTCCATCTTTTCATATTGATTACTATGTAAGAGGTTAATAGATTCAACCAACAAAACTTCTCAAACAAACGAACTAAGTTACTAAGATACATATTTATATAATGTTTGTTTTTTATCTGCATGCAACATTATCGCTAATTGGCTATTGAGGTTTCTAGTACCAGAATATAAAAATTATATAACGAAATGTATGTAATGAAATCTACTTTCGAGAGTATTCATTTAAATAAAACTAATTATTGGTCATTGTCGCTGCAAAAGTAACCGAAACGGCGGGAGTTTGTAGTTAAAATAATTAAACACGCCTCAGTAAATTCGAAAATATTAGTTTTATTGAAATATATACGTGGACTATATGTAAAGATAAAGTGTACAATGTTGACAGCATGTCAAGAGTAAAGAAGAACCCAAAAAAAGTTGTCCTCGGTATTAAAGGCTTTCTAAAAGCAACCCATATTCCTTCTAAAGACTGTCCAATGAGCAAAAGATCTAGGTTTTGTGGTTAGTCCCCGGTGGCTTTTTTGGGGCTTACGTTCTGTAAGCACTAAGTATATATTTTCATAGAAATAGAAAATAATTTATAAAACAAACAAAGCTTGTTTAGACACCAGAGCATTATATTAAATGTTTTGTCTTATTCAAATATTTATTTTCTATGTACATATTTCGTGTTTATTCCTGAATCACTCATATTTTAAGTAAATTTAATATTTCATACTAGCAAATATATATTTAATAAAATCTGCCTAATTATAACATATGGAATAATTAATTAACGCAATTCCTAGACCATGTTTTGGTAAAGAAGTATTAATGTTTTATTTTAACTTTTAAAAATTTAATATTATGTTTATATTAATTAGGTGACTTCCTGAAGTGAAATAATGTTCTTTCTTTTGTTTTTTTAACAAAATTAATGAAATAAATTTTGTAAGTCCGTGCTTTAAATCATTAATATAAAACCTTAAATAATATTTGCCATTAAGGCAGTCTTTTATGACCGGCTTTAATAAAACTGCTTTAATAATCACAAAATAATTTTTATTAGGATACTGACGAAGATATTCTCATTAAATATGATGTAATTTTATTTAAGTGAGCAAATATTTATTTAAAAGTGAAAAATAATTTTATTACGAAAAGTAATTTATATTACGTTCCTTTCTTTAATAATGCTGTCAAATTCCCCGAGGAAGAAATTGTTTTCATTAATATTGTCATAACAGCACGCATGTACTTGGTGCATATAAGGGCCGCAATAAATACTAAGAAACCGCCAACAGTCTTGAGTCCACGGCATTATGGAAGGTGTTGCAGCCGTAAATACATTGTATCTACCTAGATTTTGATTGAATCTCATCTGAGTTCATGCAATTATAATACTAATAACAAAATTTTTCGCAATTACATCACATTAAAATCATTTCTAGACTTATATTACGAAAAAAATAAACAGAATCACGTGATACGCGTGTTGTTTATTATGTATTTTTTTGACATATTTTATCTTGAATCATCTTTCTTCGTGTTCGCCTTGCGTGAGCACTTCTACACCTTAGTATGTTCAAGCAAGCTAATTAATACACGTATGTATTCACCATCATTAATTAAAACAAGGGTTCATGACATGCAACCAATTATTAATATAAGTACTGGTAATATGTTTCAGCTAAACATACCTAATTCATAACATACATTTTAATTATGGGAAAATTGTAATTAACGTAATTAGTTCTCATTAAAAATATCATGAAATTTTGTTTTCTCAAAATTGTATTATGCAAGTCATTAAAATATAATTAAGACTTAAAATGAATGTATGATATATTTGAAGAAAGCAAATCTTGTATTGTTACAATATCGCTGGAAAACTTCTTAGTTATATTATGTGTTGGCATTATATGATATTTATATAAATCTTCTTTATTTACCAAATGATACATCTTACAAGTTTGTGTTTTATAATAATTGTTTTTATACAATAACTAAGCTTGAATTATATAGTGTGGCGACCGGAGGTTCCAGGATAACTACGAAACATACTTATATGTATATTTAAATAAGAATTACATGTTAAAACTTATAACCTATATCTAAGACTACATGATTGCCATGATGTTAGGAGGACAATGGCATTGTATTGCTTGTGTGGTATGTGGAATCTTCTGGTTCACAAACTTGGTGTAGGTTCCGCGGAGTCAGCGGCGTCACTTGTTATACGAAATTTTACCGATACAAAGATGTCGCCCTGGCGATGTTCATTTTTTTCTTCATATGTAGTGCTTACGTAACAGTTGTAATATGTACAGTGATTACAAACTAACAACCTATATAGAAAACTTGGTCTGTGATTCCCGAAAGTGATTTATGAATTTACAGTTTATTTTCTTTTTCTTTGGAATTAGATCAATAGGTCATAGAAAGAAAGACTAATTAAACATTCGGTAACCCTCTAAGTTTTGTAATTAGGGATTTAAAAATGATAACCTGAATCTCATAGTAACACCTATCATATTTATCTTTTACTAGTTTTTGCCCGCGACTTCGTCCGCGTTAGTTTGGTCAAGAGTAAATTATATAGGTATAGCTGACCAGGCGAACTCTATTCCGTCTTAGAGGCCATAAATAATCAGGTTTTTCCTGTTTCAATCAAACAGAATGATTGACATATTAGTTAGTTGTCAAATCTAATGTCAAAAAAACGTTTGTATGGCAAATAGAAAAGGGCTGTTTTTAGGGTTTTCCCCACAATTATTCCAATTTTTCTCACCTTTTAAACCTTCCCTGGACTTCCAGGAGTATTTCAAGACTAAAATTAGCCAAATCGGTTCAGCCGTTCTCAAGTTTTAGCGAGACTAAGGAACAGCAATCCATTTTTATATAAATAGAAGATTACTTCTATATAAATGAAAATGAATTAAATTTTCAGGGAAATCAAATATTCAGTTTGCCTTTTTAAACTGTAGAAGTCAACTAGAAAGTTTCTGATATTTAAAAACACGAAATGTATGCAATTTAAAACTGGATATTTATATAACTACTTAAATATTCCACAGAGATGCTTAATGCATAAGTCTGCGAGATTTACGTCTGAATGTCATAGTTTTGAACTGATTTTTATGGAAAAATGTTTGATTTGAAATTAGAAAAATCACTTTAAATAATGATTTAAATGCCCAAAGCTTTTCATTTCAATGTCAGGAAATAACATACGAATGCTTTAGCAAGACATATTCTTCAATACATATTCTCGTGATGTCCTTTAGTAAAGTAATATTAGAAATATTATAACAGGAAGAGACTATATTGTACTATACCGTTATTTTATTACAGTAACAAATAATTACAATCTAATTATGTATCGCGGTATCATTCTTAAATTATTTATTATGATGAAATCAAACTATATCTCTAACTAGTTAAAGTGGGTTTATTACTGTTTTTAACTGCCACAATCATCATTAGGTACTTAAAATAGATTTAAAACAAACACTTTCAAACATCGTAAATATTTTCAAAATATGAAGTTTTAATAAAGGACATAAAATTTTTATTCCATGCAAGGGAGAATGTTTAAAAGGTTTTTCATAGCGTTATCAAAATGCTCTTTGCGTGGGAACTGTCAGTGGATATCAGGTTTCGTCCATGTGTGACGTTAATTTAACCTTTTGTTAACCGAAACTGCCAATCATTCCCCTTTTGGTCTCCAAATAATCCATTGTTTAGAGTTAAAATGCCGATATCAGAACATTTTCTTTTTAAATAATCGTTTTTACACTAAAAAGGTTACATATAAAAAAATATTAGTATGGTATAGTATTTGGATCTTAATCTAATCGAAGGAAACAGTGTAGTTCTGTTGATTTAGAAATGCCATTATATGTAATAAGACAAGATATAGGAGGAATCTTGCCTTAAAAAATTATTTAGTTAATAGTTTCCTTGATCGCTACATTAAATAGATTATAATGTAAAAAGGGAAAAAGTATAATGATATATTCATGAATTGAGAAACATAGTTATCGGTATAATATATGCTGATATTATATAACTTATAAGTAATATATATATGTATTAAAGCTTAGGGATTTACAATTACTATTTTGTTTTTACATTGACAAAGATTGAGTATGACAAGAATAGACAAAGATATTAACCCACCAAAAAAATATTCTTGTACGAGAAATAACAAACAACCAATCAAATACATGAGTCTAAATTACACACATAATAAGTAAGAATACAAGAAAAGTCTAATTGCTTGGAGATATTAAAAAGGTCACAAGTTTACAGCATTGTCAAAAAAACACTATCTAAATTGAATGATAATGTTACGAAAAGAATTCTTTATAACTCGTAGAGATTGCAAATTACACACTCATACACTAAGAGGACGTACCTAATACTTTGATGGTTTCCCTAATGCACTGCACATTAAGCCGGTAAGTGTTTAACACCTGCTCTATGTTGTTGAAATAAGTATGTACTAGAGTTATAACATACTAAAATTTACTATAAACATTGAATATATATTTTAGTAAAAATATGTTATATGTATGGCGAGACCACTAATTACTACCGCCATTAAGTTCTAGTTTTGAAAACGATTTTTACAAGCAAGCTGTATTTGCATGCTTTATATTGAGACTTCTTTAGCAATTAAAATAATATAATGGAACGTTTCATAGTAAATAAGCAAAATATTGAATTAAGTTGAAATAATATGTGTGTTTTCAGGCTCTTTTTTGTATTAAATTACACGAGACTTACCAATAGAATGTAACGAACCTGCATTCTACCCATAGGAGAAGTCTGAATCGT